TTGTCCTTCTATTTGGAAATTACACAGTAGAATGTTTCCTCTATTCGCGGAGTTCTAATAGCTGCAAAATTGATCCTATGGAATTTTTAGAAGAGAGTTTGCATCTCAGCTCTTCCCTTTTCGTCGGATTACAGCATTGAAACCCTTTGCAGCAGATTACTCTTTTGTGATGGAGGACACAGACTCGGTTAGCCGTATCCCAAGAATGCACACGCCTTGGTTTACTGCTGTGCTGTGCTCTGCAGGGAATCGCTGTCCCTTGTTTTCACCACTTCCATTCGGATATGCCAGCTACGAGAATGATGGAAGGCAGCCTGGATCACATGTACACTTTAATTGCATGGAAGACTATGACATGACTGGAGAAAAAACATTGACATGCTTGGAAAACGCAACATGGAATGGTACTGCCCCAGTCTGCTGGAAAGGTGAAGTATGAGAAACCTTCAATTGATGGCTCTTCGATGAAGCATAGTGGAATATTTATGTGTAGGCATGATGAGTATGCTTCCATTCTCCTACTGTGGCATTATCACGGTATGGGTCTAGTTGAAATGTGCCACTCTGATTTTCGTCAGCTCTCTAATATGGTGTGCATGGTCATGGTAGAAAGAAGCAAGCATATTTGGAATTATGGTAATTTGTGAATCATTGTGCAGCTTCACTGCAGCACAAGATGTTAGCATGCAATGCATTTTAACACAATACGAATTATTACAGGGTTGTACACACAATGATCGTGGTATACACCTTCGTACACGCATTTCCTGCGCTTTATCTGCTGAGCTGGTGCATACCCACTCTTTCAGCGCACTTCTCCTTGTCGATTGTACATGCAAATTCAGACACTCAATTGCATACGGCTTTTGTGTGTCTCGTTTATTTTGTACATGGACATACATACGCTCTCGCTTGCTTTCGTTATAAAAGGCCAGATTCGCTCCTTGTACATTGTTCTGACGATGGGTGACTGGCCCGAAACGTCAATAATTTTTCGACATCATTATTAAAAGAATTTTCATCTAAAGAGTGAATGGCAACTAAAATTTATTAAATAGAGCGGTTGTCAGTTGACAAACCCCCACATTGTGTGTGTGTGTGTGTGTGTGTGTGTGTGTGTGTGTGTGTGTGTGTGTGTGTGTGTGTGTGTGTGTGTGTGTGTGTGTGTGTGTGTGTGTGTGTGTGTGTGAATGTTGTACAGACCGGCAGTGCAGGAGTCTTTCTATTCCAGTGAACGGCCACCGAGAATACACAGCAGGAACGCAGCTCAACTCCACTGCTCGATTCCGATGTGAAGACGGATATCGCCTGAATGGCAGTGCTATGGTAGAGTGTGCGGGGAACTTCACCTGGAACGGTTCAGAGCCAGTATGTGAAAGTAAGGGCGCGTTCATATTGTCACTCTTTGACTTTTCGAGGAGCTTCGTTTTTCTGAAGAGGTGGCCTTATTGGCCTCTTCAGAAAACGAAGCTCCTCGAAATTCCTCGAAACTCACCCGATGGGAAGGTGGATTAGTTTCGAAGAGTTTGGAATAGCTACGTCACGTAGTCCGTGGAGATGGTCGATCTGATCGGACGTCGTCAACGCCATGACAATTCCACTGAAAAACTCTAAAATGATAGAAACTGTTCGAATGGGACACTTCAACTAATCTCTTTATAAAATTTGTTAGAACAGTTGATGAAGACAATTCGAACGCGCCCTAAGTGTCGATTTTATCTTTGGCTCACTCCGCTTCACTGAGTGACATTATATGTCACATTATGTGTATGTGTGAGGGGTGGGGGTTTCCCAACCTGTCGGAAGGCTACCTTCTTGCTAACGCATTTGGGAAGTTGGACTAGTTTCAGCTCCACAATCCAGTGTGTTCTTTCTTTAATAGCTTTCATGTCTGAAGTTGTTCGTATGCCAATTGTCTCTGGGTTCCCAGTACCCAGTTGCCGAGGCTGGTTGGTAAAGTAACTCCAATTTCACTTCAAGGTACCAGTGCATCTAGTGTCTGCTTCTATCAAAGCAGTGTGCTGTCTATACCGGTTACCCCAGCAAATGTAGGGTTTGCATTGATAACTGTCTTGGCCATCTTATTCCGATGTACTCCGTGTGGTGTAGACTAGGTGTTCATTGGTGGTGGATTCACTTGGCTTCGCCAGTTGTGTGGATTAGACAGTTATCTGGCTCTTGTCTTGATCTGTTTTATTCAGGATCAGATCCGCTATCGTTGCTATAAAGAGAAATTCTGTGGGTGCACATCAAGGGCATTTGTAGATTTGCGTGCTTCTCTTGCGATGGGTGTATACATGGTACATGGTGTGTGCCAGCTAGTTCGGTTGGTGGGTACACTTATGCCAGATAGTGTTGGATCTGTTGCTAACAGGCTCTTGTGTGATCATGGTACTAGTGAAGCTTGTATCAGATCCAGTGTATGCTCCAGGATTGTAGGACAGCCGGGTACACGTGTACCTGGCTCAACCATTACAACCGGGTCGGAGCCGGGTATACGTGTACACCCAATGATATAAAGGCTAACGAGAGAGCTTGGAAGCTCAGGGCCCTACGCTATGCTTTTTTGCCTTGATTACCTAGACAAAAAAAGCATAGGGATGTTATAAATTCTTATAAGTTTCTACTTTTTGTTTTTAGACATACCCTGGGATTCGAACCCGCACTATCGCCCTGCATGCATCCCCCGATACACTTCGCATACATACTAATTCTTCCAAGTTGCTTCACGTTATGATCTTGTATTTGAAAGCCCTATTTGAATATGCATTGTGGCCAGCCGTCTTTGATTGTACGGTACGGTACGGGACGGTACGGGATAGGTACGGGTCGGTACGGGATAGGTACGGGACAGGTACGGGACATGTACGGGACAGGTACAGGACAGGTACGGTCGAGGGTAATACGACACCGTCTACCGCCTTGATGACGGCAAAAAAAGAAAAGGGGTGTTATAAATTTTTCAATTCACCTATTTTTTCGGCATAACATGGTATTCGAACCCGCACTATCACCCTACATGCATTCCCCCATACACTTCGCATTCATACTCATTCTTCCAAGTTGCTTCACGTTATGACCTTGCGTTTGAAAGCCCTATTTGAATATTGCGGCCAGCTGTATGTGGCCAGCTGTGTTTGATGGTACGGTACGGTACGGGACAGATATGGGATAGCGCCAGGCGTGACACAAACACACAAACAAACAAACACCAAAATAAAGCTGTGTGGACCCTGGCTAGCGCCAGACGTTACTGAAGTAACGTAACGTCTTCTGCATAGCTACGGGAATGGATAAGCCGCATTTAGAAAAGAGAGGACAGGAATTAGAAAATTACGAAAGAAGAAGTATCTGACACATACAAGCCATGTAGTCAGTCCTTTCGAAAGTGTAAAGTACCAACCGGGTCACAGGTGACAGGGCACTATATTTTCAACCGGGTCCAAGCGCCGCCCAACCGGGTGGATTACCCGGCTCACCCGGCGCTGGAGCAGACACTGAGATCTACTCTGATTTAGCCACCAACACTAGTAGCAAGTATTACCTTCACTGAGGGCAGGGATGACTGCAATTCGATCCCGGGACGGATACCCTGATGCCGTCAATCCTTTTCCTGCACCTTGTCCTCACCCACTTACTGAGGTGAGCCCATAAGTGGGATAATTTCCAAGTCCACCCAAAGTTCGGGGATTTCAGGGGTGTCGGCCGTTGGGCAGTTCAATAGCCAATTGAGTCATCTTTCCAAGATTCCTTTTGAATCTCTCTCCCCTCTCCCGGGGAGACCCATGTGACCAGTTTTGGCAGTGACCAAGGACAGTACAGTGTGTGCGTGTGTGTTTGTGTGTGTGTGTGTGTGTATGTGTGTGTGTGTATGTGTGTGTATGTGTGTGCGGTAGTTTGCTCCACTCGCGGACTTGCAATGCAAGGCCTCACAAAGGTCTCCGAGGTGGGGGCGACAAGGAGAGTATCTGCATAGTATCTATCCGACCAAGTGTCCTGTCGTTGGAGACCCCACCTCAGGCACTGTTGGCGAGGACGGCTGGGGACACCCCAGGCCGTCCACAACGGCGAGAACAAGCACGGACGGAAGCCAGAAACAAAAGCCAAAAAAAGTACAACCGTCCTCCACCAGAGCAGAGAGCACACACATTTTCAAGATGTTGAACTATTCGAAAGATTTTCTTATCGTCGGAAACGATTCCTCTCACGGCTGCCGTTTGAACTGGTCCATTACTCTCCACAACAGAGCGAACATTCCATGAGCCAACGCTCAGAGTCGTTCCAAGTCGTCGTCTTCGTGCGGTAGTTTGCTCCAGTCGCGGGCGTGCAAGGCCTCACGAAGGACTCCAAGGCAGGGGCGACGAGGAGAGTGTCAGCATCGTAACTATCCGACCAAGTCTCTTGTCGTTGAAGACCCCACCTCAGCTCAGGTGCTGTTTGCGAGGACGGCTGGGGACACCCCAGGCCGTCCACAACACCGAGAACAAGCACGGACGGAGGCCAGTAACAAGAGCCCAAAAAAGTACAACCGTCCTCCACCAGAGCAGAGAACACACACGGAGTCCTTCGTGAGGCCTTGCAAGCCCGCGACTGGAGCAAACTACTGCACGAAGACGACGACTTGGAACGACTCTGAGCATTGGCTCATGGAATGTTCGCTTTGTTGTGGAGAGTGATAGACCAGTCAAGTGGCAGCCGTGAGAGGAATCCTTTCCGATGATAAGCCAGATCCATAGCTGCCGGAGATGGCTCTCTCGAACATGGTCCCTGCCTGAGTCCCTGATCTGGTGCCTCTCTCTCAGCAGACTGCCGTCGCTCGTCGTTCCATATTTTCGGCCCACGAGGGGACACGTGACCGTAATGGCAGTGTTAACCAGGACCAGGTATGTGTGTGTGTATGTGTGTGTATGTATGTGTGTGTATGTGTGTGTATGTATGTATGTGTGTGGCCATAGAAATGACGGTTGTAGTAATGCCCGTATTCTCCGTTATTTCTGCAGATCAACGCTGCAGAAGCCTGAGCATCCCTGCCAACGGTCATCGTCTCTATCAGAATAGTACATGGTTGTACTCCATTGCTAGGTTTGACTGTGAAACAGGTTATACACTCAATGGCAGCTCTGTGTTACACTGTGGTCCTGACCTGAACTGGAATGCTTCTGAGCCGGAGTGCCAGAATGTATGTAAGTGGTTAACAAGAATGTAACGAATTTTGATTCGCGTATTATTTACGGACGTTGTTGTATATGGTTCTTGTCCCGTAGAGTCCGATGTCTGATGTCATATAATATGGTCTAAATGTGTGTGTGTGTGTGTGTGTGTGTGTGTGTGTGTGTGTGTGTGTGTGTGTGTGTGTGTGTGTGTGTGTGTGTGTGTGTGTGTGTGTGCAGCCTGTTGGAAGGCTACCTTCTTGCCAAAGCATTTGGAAGTTGGACTAGTTTCGGCTCCACAAGCCAGTGTGTCGTAACTATAATAGCTTTCATGGCTGAGGTTGTTGGTATGTCTGTTGGCTCTGGGTTCCCAGTACTCAGTAGCCGAGGCTGGTTGGTAAAGTAACTCCAATTTCACTTCAAGGTACCTGTGCATCTAGTGTCTGCTTCTATCAAAGCAGCGTGCTGTCTATACTGGTTACCCCAGCAAGTGTAGGGTGTGCATAGGTAACTGTCTTGGCCGTTTTATGCCGATGTACTCCGTGTGGTGTATACCAGGTGTGCATTGGTGGTCGATTCACATGGCTTCGCCAGTTGTGTGGATTAGACAGTTATCTGGCGCAAGTCTTGATTTGTCTCATTCAGATCTTGTTCGCTATCGTTGCTATAAGAGAAATTCTGTGTGTGCACATCCAGTGCATTTGCAGATTTGCGTGCTTCTCTTGCAACGGGCGTATACATGGTACATGGTACATGGTGTGCGAGAGAGAGAGAGAGAGAGAGAGAGAGAGAGAGAGAGAGAGAGAGAGAGAGAGAGAGAGAGAGAGAGAGAGAGAGAGAGAGTATGGTGTGATGCGTGATACATACGGTATGTGGTGCGTGTAACGATACTCGTTGTCAGAGAGTGAGAACCTATTTCTGTTCGTGTGTGGGCAATTACCAAATGAGGCCCGGGCATGCATAGTGCTAGTTTGGTCTGGGAGCGGTTGCGGCAACTATTGAGGGTAGTGTATAAGAGGATCAGATAACCGAGGTGTACCTGCAGATGTATGTAGAATGTATGCGTTGAAATGATCGTCGACCTTGTGCTAATATCTGCTTTCACTTCTTATTGACAGTATTGCACTATCAATATTATTGCTTTGCACCTGTCACAGCTAATCAATGTGAGCCAATCCAAAGGGCAAACTGCACCTCGTTTTACAGCCAAGAGCGGCTAGCTGGATCAGAAGCCATGGTGGTATGCAGTTCCTTCACTGGAAACATCTTAGCGCTGCATACAGACAGCAGAACACTGCTTCATCGCCTCTATTGCAATGAGAGTTTGGAGTGGATCAATGTTTCAGAGTACCTCACTGGCGTCGAATCTGGTATGTCTATACAAACAACACACTCAAATTTAGTGGTGTGCGTGGGTAGTAGGGTGCCCGTGCTACTCGTGAGGACCTCGGGTAGACTGGTACAGAATAGTACCCGAAAACCCGAAGTCGCAGATGACATCATGTACAGTGCACGTGTACAACTTCATGTAATACTCCGCATGTCTACCCAGTGCGTAAGGGAAGGGGTACATTGTGGTGTTACCATGGAAATATTACCCGATCGGGTACCCGTGCTAGACGTGGAAAACTACCGTAACCCGATACCCAAAGAAAATGTTACCCAACTCAGCCCTACTCTATTTGCTACTACTTCAGTCCCATTTCCTTCTAAGGCCCAATCTCCAGTCACCCAGCCACTTTTAAAATAGCACCTCTCTCTCTCTCTCTCTATCTTCCCCTTCTCTCTCTCTCTCTCTCTATCT